TTTTTTTTTTTTTTTTTGCATAGTGACTACTAAACAGTTTAATTGACAGGCACTTTTCTGTATATGTGGACACTGGTTAGTTAGTTTCACATTTCAGTTATATATATATATATTCAAAAATTTGGGGTCGGTTTTTATGTTTTTGGAAGGAGTTTCTTCTCCTCACCAAGGCTGCATTTATTTGATCAAAAATACATTAATATTGTAAAATATTAATACAATTAAGGCTGCATTTATTTGATCAAAAATACATTCATATTGTAAAATATTAATACAATTAAAAGATTGAAGAACAATCTTTTAATTGTATTAATATTTTACAATATTAATGTATTTTTGATCAAATAAATGCAGCCTTGGTGAGGAGAAGAAACTCCTTCCAAAAACATAAAAACCAACCCCAAATTTTAATATATGTTAAAATGTCATTTATTCCTTAGATGGCAGAGCTGCATTTTAAGCAGCCGTTACTTCAGTCTTATAGGTCACATGATCTTTCACAAATCATTCTTAGTTGCTGACTTGGTGCTGAAAAAAAATCTTATTAGTAACATTCAAAATATTTTAGCTTTTTTTTTTTTTTTTACTTTAATATTTCAAATTCAAAAAAAGAATCAGAAGAAGAACTGTCTTTCTGGCCACTTTTGATTAATGTAATGTGTCCTTGCTGATTAAAAGTAAAAATTTATTTAAAAAAAAAAAATCCTTCTGACCTCAAGGTGTGTGTGTGTGTGTGTGTATAAACTTAATATAATATAAAAATAATATTTTTTACATTTCAAATGTTATAAATTAACAATATGTAATGTTTTATGAAAAAACTGAATTAAAGAAAAATAGTATATTTTTAGGTTGAAATTTAGAGATTAACATTTAACTAGATTAATAAAATATATTGTAATTTCATGATACCTAATGAACTAGCCAAGTAATGTTTACAATATGAACCTTTAAAGCACCACTGTTACTGTATATGATTATATTGACCTTTCCATGACCCTCTGTTTCTGTAGTACACTTCCGCTCTGACATATGACGGAGTGATGGTGATGGCAGAAGCCTTCAGGAACCTCCGCAGACAGAAGGTGGACATCTCCCGCAGGGGCAACGCCGGAGACTGCCTGGCCAACCCCGCTGCCCCCTGGAACCAGGGCATCGACATGGAGCGCACACTCAAGCAGGTCACATGCACAGATGAGCAAATGCAGGCTTTATATGAGATGGGAAAGAAGTGCTTTGTGCAGTGTTTCAATGGGGAAGAAGACAGAAATAAATGTGGAAAAACAAGGCTGTGAGGTGACAGAGGGCTGAGGCTGAACAGAACAGTAATCGACGATCTGAAAAATGCGAAATGGCCAAATTTTAATCGATGGAAGGTAGAAAATGACAGGGGAAATGGAAAGGTGTAATAGAGGAAACTATAAGGATATAGAAAGCGAGAACCAAAACAGGAGAGAGTGGCACAAAACAAGACGGATAGAGACACAGTGAGAGCAAGAAAGATGTGAAATGTGTGCCAAATTTTTAAAAGCACAAACTGTTCTCAGACCCCAACAACTCACCTCACAAACAAATACATAAAAAAACATGGATTAGTATTCAATAATACTTGATATTTACAGTACTATGTAAATACTGTCACAGTAATCTAAAAAAACAGAGCTCATATATGCATCAGTGATTAGGACGTGCTTGTCAAACATGTAAAAATACTATAAATAACTAAATCATGAGTGTTTTATCAGCAGGAAATTACTTAATTGCTTTTAATTATACACAGATAGATAAGAAATACATTTGAGTTTATGTCTCTCACATTTAACATGCTCTGCTGCTCGTCGCTAAAAGAGTCCGGGCAGAATTTATGATCCTTTTGTGTATTTATATTTAGTCCTGATGCAAACTCAAGAGTTTAGTTGCTGATGATTTGGCTCCACTGAATATATTGCATTGGTTTTCAGATTTTTTGATTTTTGTTCATGGTTAAAAGGATTTTGTGTCTATTTTAGATGGATCCCTGTTTGAGAAACACTGGTGTAGGGTAATAACTCCAGAAGAAAGAGATGTTAAAGTTCGAGAAAGCAAGTGAATGTGTAAATGAAAGTGTTTCGAGGTGCTTTGCAGTGGTTGGATAACCTGTAATTACATTGTTTATCACTGCAATCCAGGTGCGCCTCCAAGGATTAACAGGAAATGTCCAGTTCGACCACTACGGGCGCAGAGTCAACTACACTATGGATGTTTTCGAATTAAAAAGTAACGGCCCCAGAAGGGTAAGAAGTCATTCTTTTATCAAGCATTGGTAGTTCTTCCACTTTGATATTGTATGTCTGACTTAAAAAGTGCTTGTCTGGGTGTTTTCTGTCTAGATTTATCTTTGATTCTGAGAAAGCGTAATCAGGCTTTGCTTTTGGTCTGTCTCTCTACATCTGTCGAGTGTCAATTCAGTGTAATTCATTGTCTTTCTTGATGTGCTTAACGCTCTGTGCTTCACTTGATGCAGCTGTTTCTGCGAGAACAATCCCAGGAGACCCTGATGAGTCTTTATTATTTTATAGTCAGCGTTTTCTTTTGTACAATGTAACATCTTGTAAGTCTCTTACAGAACTTCACCACCGCATTCCCATTTCATGCATTTATGGATCTCTTTATATGGTGAAAATCGTGTTTTACAGCCATTTTATCTGCCTTATAAACCCATATGAATCATTAAGACTCACACAAATGATGGATGATCATTTTTACAGAAACGGTCGTTATTTCTACTCTGGCACCAAATCTCCCACACAGTATTTCCTGTGAGACAGTGTTTTCTCTACCCACGTTAGCTGACGGAGCGAGTGGGCTATTTGACAAGCAGGTTTTGACCGTCATGCCCCTGTGGGATTGTGGGAAATCAAATGAATAAATCTGTTCAAATTATATTTAGCTAAGAAACAGTCTCAGTGTGAGGGACATAAAAATGAGAGAGTGGATTTATTTTCAATTAGTCTGTTCTCAGCCTATTTGCAAAATTGTAGTTAATTGCAACCAAATGTACAGTTTTTAAATAATGCCCAAAGTTTGGCTTTGAATGGTCTGGGGGTTTTAGCAGCAGAGCCATGTACATACCGTAAAGTCTCGTGTCACACACCTTCTTCTAAAGTTATGGGGAGCCCTCTGCCTCTGGCGTGCTTTATGGAGTGTGGCGGCTCCTGGCTGCTGTTGAGCAGTGCACCAGAGGAAGAGTGATGGGAAAAGGAAGAGGAGGGGAGCGCAGGAACGACCTGCCAGGGTTTGGCACTCATTTATCAACCGGTCGTGAGCCTCGCTTTAGGCAGATGCTGTAGTCTGGCTCTTCTTTTTCCCGTTCATCTGGGTCTCGTAAGGACACGGGCAAACGCCGCTGCTCGCGTCTCCTCAGCCTGACAGTTTATCAACCCACAGCAGAATGTTACACACGGTGACACCGTGCTCTTAAACCACACAAAATAACAACATTCGTCTTTATCATCTACATAAACACTTATAAATTCAGCAATGTTTGAAATAAGACAAAGTAAATCTATCAGTCGTAGACACAATACACTTATATTGAAGATACACTACCATTCAAAATTTGTGTTGGTAAGATTTATAAATGTTTTTGTGCATTTATTTGATTAACAGTAATATTGAGAAATCTTGTTACAATTTTTAAAAAAAACAGTTTTCTATTTTTATATTTTTAAAATGCAGTTTATATGATGGAAAAGCTTCATTTTCAGCAGCCATTACTCCAGTCAAGAAACATTTGTTTTTATTATTGTCAGTGTTGAAAACAGTGTTGCTGAATATTTTTCTGGAAACAGTGATACTTTTTTTTTTTCAGGATTTTCTGATGAATGGAATAGAAATATAAATATTTTGTACTATTATAAATATCTTTACTGTCACTTCTAACTAGTAAGTATTAATTTCTTATTTTTTTTAATCTGATCCTAAACTTTTAAACTGTAGTGTACTTTCTCTGAAACAAGTCTTAAATGGATAGTTTAGCCAAAAATGAAAATTGTCATCACTCACCGCTTGTCGGTCCAATCCCATATGACTTACTTTCTTCTTTGAAACCCAAAAGAAGATATTTTAAATATATTTTTAAACCTTTTTTGTCCTTAAAATGAATGTGAATGGCAAAAGTGTAAAGATGAAAAATAAATAGTTTAGCCGGTAACACTTTAGTACAGGGACTGATTCTCACTATTAACTAGTTGCTTATTAGCATGCCTATTATTAAAATATTGACTGTTTATTAGCACTTATAAACCACATATTCTGCATGACCATATTCTACATCCCTAATCCGCCCCAATACCTAAACTTAACAACTACCTTACTAACTATTAATAAGCACCAAATTAGGAGTTTTTGAAGCAAAAGTCGTAGTTAATGGTTTGTTAATAGCGAGAATTGGACCTTAAAATAAAGTGTGACTGTTTAGCACGGTTTAGACTAAATACTTTCCGCACATTTACCCATATGGGCAAGCTTGCATGTATTCATTTGCTCTCAGTTGGGTCTGGAGTCTCATTCTCGTCCTTGTCCCATCTCTAGATTGGATACTGGAATGATGCTGATAAGTTGGTTCTGACCCAGGATCAAGCCTTGCTTCCCAATGAAACGTCTGGCATGGAGAACAGAACCGTGATTGTAACGACTATCATGGTGAGTAGCAGCATTTCCTGAGACTTTATTTGGCATATTTTACAATCAAATAACTTGTGGTGTTTGTCCTTCATCTGAAAGCTTCCATATATCAAGAACCCCTCTCATACACATGGTGAAAAAATGAACATTTCTCAATGGCGATGAATTTCTTCATAACCTGCACACACAAAGATTCTGATCTGCAAACACTGCAGAAATTCACAGCTGCGCCGTGCTGTTCATCAAAGCGCATTTTCTCTCTGTCTGACCTGTCAGTCATACTGCTGTCCATTCAGATAACCCAAATGTTTTTACATGTGCTGAATAGCATCTCTCAACAGTGCTGTCATGGCATCGTGATCATCTGCCTTTCTCACGTACTGTCAAAGTTACCAGAACTGGTGTCTTGGACTCTGTATTTTGTTTTGTTCATTTTGTCAACTGTAATCTTATGTGTGAATTGAAACGCTGCATGAATGGGACACATTCTGTATTACATTTTGGAGATCATAAATGACAGTATCGTCCATGTATATGCACTGATTCAAGGATGTAATGGGCACATGTTTGCTAAATGCTAAGGTTTTGGAGTGTCGCACCTGAAGCCAAATCCTCCTCTTTTCAGCCCCTGGTGAGGAACCCCTTATTAAGAAACTGAACAGCTGATGGACTCTGCAGAGGTGAAATCAAGTGCTTACTGAAGCTCAGACAGACAGAGAGACAAATCAGAACTGAGGGCAAAAACATGGATGCTTCTACCTGAGCCAAAATAAAGCCACAATGAGAAATCAAGCCGTGGATGAAGACAAAGACAAGCTCTAATAAGCAACTCAATCATGAATGGAGAAGACCTGTAGAGTTGCCAGAATTTGAAAACTGGATGGACCCATGGAAGCCAAACAAAGTCTTTACTTTAGCATTCAAATCATGTGTATCGCAAACAGAAGGACCAGGTTTTGTATATATAGCATACTGTATATAAATTCATCATTACTGCCCCTTTGCATTCATTAAGACTTCTCAAAGCATACCATGGATATTCATAAGGAATTCTAATTTTCCCATTATGCTCTATACATTTTAAAGGGACAGTTCACTCAAAAAAAGAAAATGATCATTAGCTATATTTTCATCCACCTATTTTTCTGCGCATTTTGAGATATGCACATACATTCTAAAAATGTGCATAAAAACGTATGCGTTCAGCTAAGTCTGATCAATTTTGTATCCAGTAAGAAAACATGCGCATAAACTACGATGGAAACACTTTTACCAAATAAATTCCCTAACGCGCATCAAAAAAGTAATGTGACTTTGTGACTAGCAGGCTCCGAAAATAAGATAACATTACCACGTTTCGTCTGCGCACTCTGAAGCTCGTAATTTATTGTATACGAACATTTTTATATACAGTGCCTTCTCCTACTGCAGCAAATGTTTTCTTCGTGATATTTACGTAGCGCAACTTAATCAGGAAGTGACGATTTTGTTCTCTTTAACTCACTGGATGGAAATGGTGCTTTATTCACAAATGTTTTATGCGGTATTCCAGTTTTGCCCATACGTTTAATTCGTAACTTTGGATGGAAACATAGCTACTGTTTGCTGATCCTCATGTTTCCAAACTTGCATGACTTTCTAATGTGGAACACACAAAAAAGTTTTGAAGAATGTTCATGCTGCTCATTTTCCATACAATGAAGGTGGATGGGGACCAAAAAGTACCATGAATGCATCTTAAAAGCCGTTCAAATCACTTGTGTGCTGTATGCCAAGTCTTTTGACATTATAGAATAAAATTTGTGATTTGTATTCAATGCTATTTGTATTCAATTACAAGTTGGTATTCATATTAAATGGAAAATCTTGCTCTCAAAATCTTGGTTGGTTACCATTCACTTTAATCGTGGAAAAGAGCAGCTTGGACATACAATGAAGGTGGATAGAGAATAGAGCTGTCCAACAAAAACACAAGGAAAGTAATGACTTTGAAGACCACAGAATGAAATTTAACTTGGCCGTCATTCACTTTCATTGTGTGACAAAGAGCAGCTTGGACATTCTGACTAACTATCTCCTTTTGTGTTCCACAGAAGAAAGTCAGTCATGGGTTTTGAAACTCAGATGGTGTGTAAATGGGTTCCAGTTTAGGTGATTTATCCCTTTAAGTTTAAAGACTATGAGCAATGAAGACTTTTATGTGGTATTTGTAAGACATGATTTTGCATGCCTGCCTATACACCACCTCATGACACAAGAGTACAGAGTACAGAGGCATTACCTGCTACAAATGCTAGATCCTTTTTATTATTTTTTTTCGGTTTTTACCTGTAGAAAAACACTGACCAGGAACAACACTGCCCTGTGCTTGTAAAAAAGATTTTAGGAGAAGGTTGCATTCTCATACATCAAACAAATTTGCGATGAAACAGATCTTCCGTTGACATTCAGTGCGGAGAGCTCTATTTGCTGTGTGTGAAATATTTAATTCTCCCTACTGGGCTTTCTGCCTTTCATCATTTTAGGCCAGCCATATGGCTTAGAAAATATTTGTAAAAGGGAAGCAGGTTTTCAGGATTTTTATGTAAATCTTCTGCCATCACCTTGTAAGTAAACATTTGTATTTGCTGCTGTATAGCACCTGTATTGTGTTAGAAATTGTTTGTTATGACAGTACATCATACTGATGACTAAAAATGACCGTTTGTGTTCATGGTGTGGCTTTTTCCTGCACAAATGTTCCTTTTTGTCCTCTGAACTGTGATCCCTTATACGCTTCAGCGATAGTATAGGAGCAAATTCGGTGTCGTTGCGTGTGACAGGTTTGCAATAGCAGTTTGCTGTTCAAATGTTGATAAAGGCATGCAATTGTAATAAATTGTGGTTGTGACTTTTATGGGTCAGTTATCATTGCTTTGAATCATGTACAGCACATAGTGTACATTCTTTGTGCTTTATAGTATATTTTAATGCTTGGTTGAACACTTTGTTATGGTTTCATACATACACCCTTTCTTAAACGTTAAAACATTTATCCCTAAATGAAAATCCTTGGTTGTGATGGTCTTATGTGGGAGAAATGCTGACTCGTGTCAATTTAAAACAAAAGCAATATGTTCTTACGGCTAGCATTTGAATAGCAAATCAATCAGCCACAGGCTAACATAATGACTGTAATTATCTTTAATACCACTTCTACAATAGCTTTATTCATCTATAACTACGCTATACATCATATTTAGAATATAGAATACAAATTAAATGTAACAACATGGAAATTTAATCACTTTTACTTGTTTACAAAAGTGTGACATGTTGCCCATTGAAAGTACTTTGTTGTTTTGTTCATTCAGGAAGGGCCTTATGTAATGCTGAAGAAGAACTGGGAGATGTACGAGGGGAACGAGCAATATGAGGGATACTGCGTGGATCTGGCATATGAAATTGCTAAACACATTGGTTTCAAGTATAAGATCTCCATCGTGCCTGATGGAAAGTATGGAGCTCGGGACCCAGAGACAAAGATCTGGAACGGGATGGTTGGGGAGCTGGTGTACGGGGTAAATTATATTCCTCTTACTTTTTGCGATGTTCTGACTTATGCATGAGATTTATAGATGACATGCTTCTCAAAATCCCTCATCACTTGAATTAAGATTGTACAAATTTTTTAAGATTATACAAATTTTAAAGCACAGCCACCACAAAATCAGACTTTAAACCTCTTTTTACTTTTAGATCGTTCTGAGGTTAAATACAGATTTAAAATCATAACAAGATATACCTAAATGAAAATCCTTGGTTGTGATGGTCTTATGTGGGAGAAATGTTGACTCATGTCAATTTAAAACAAAAGCAATATGTTCTTATGGCTAGCATTTGAATAGCAAATCAATCAGCCACAGGCTAACATAATGATTGTAATTATCTTTAATACCACTTCTACAACAGCTTTATTCATCTATAACTACGCTATACATCATATTTAGAATATAGAATACAAATTAAATGTAACAACATGGAAATTTAATCACTTTTACTTGTTTACAAAAGTGTGACATGTTGCCCATTGAAAGTACTTTGTTGTTTTGTTCATTCAGGAAGGGCCTTATGTAATGCTGAAGAAGAACTGGGAGATGTACGAGGGGAACGAGCAATATGAGGGATACTGCGTGGATCTGGCATATGAAATTGCTAAACACATTGGTTTCAAGTATAAGATCTCCATCGTGCCTGATGGAAAGTATGGAGCTCGGGACCCAGAGACAAAGATCTGGAACGGGATGGTTGGGGAGCTGGTGTACGGGGTAAATTATATTCCTCTTACTTTTTGCGATGTTCTGACTTATGCATGAGATTTATAGATGACATGCTTCTCAAAATCCCTCATCACTTGAATTAAGATTGTACAAATTTTTTAAGATTATACAAATTTTAAAGCACAGCCACCACAAAATCAGACTTTAAACCTCTTTTTACTTTTAGATCGTTCTGAGGTTAAATACAGATTTAAAATCATAACAAGATATAGTTTAATAACAGTTCATCTTAAAAAATATAGGCATATACCTAAAGCTAAATAGGAAATAGAACCGTTATCAAATAAACATGTGTCCTATTCTGTGTTCTAAACTCCTGAAACATTGGTGTCTCATATTTTAGAGAATTCAATTCATATTTTAGAGAATGCAATTCGGGAAAGAAATCAATCAAATCTCTGTTTGTGAAAATATTCAGATGTAACCCCTTTGTAATCTTTAACATTAGAGGGCACTGACGGTCTGCCTAGCGACCAGCCCCCCAATGAGTTCGGGATCTTCAACAGTCTCTGGTTCTCCCTCGGAGCCTTCATGCAGCAGGGTTGCGACATCTCACCCAGGTCAGTAAACTCAATCCACTACTAGAAAACTGCTTGAGAGGAAAACATTTTATATTGCAGTGGGAATTAATACAGTTAATGTCTCTGATATGGTAATATCTGATACCTGAAGTAGAGTCATTGCTGTAGTTTCCATAGTGATTTGATGACGAGTCTGAATTAAAGAACATGAAGGAGCAGCCAAGTGGGAGAACTTGCATTAACACTCGCTGTTTATTCATTGCATCTGCTTTGAATCTTTGGGGAGCGAGGAACAACCTAGTCACAACCATCACTAAGAACATTTACATGCACAGTTACAATTAAGCTACTGTGACTTTCTCACATATACACTACCATTTAAAAGTTTCGGGTGCCAGGTGTTTCTTTTAAATAAATACTTTTATTCAGCAAGTCTTTGTGACAAAAGATCTCTATTTTAAATAAATGCTGTTCTTTTGAACTTTCTGTTTGTCAAAGACTCCTGGTTTCCACAAAATGATTAAGCTGCACAATCATTTTCAACATTGATAGTAACAAGAAATGAGCTGCAAAGATGAGCAGCAAATCAGCATATTATAATACTTTCCGAAGGATCATGTGACACTGAAGAGTGGAGTAATGGCTGCAGAAAATTCAGCTTTGCCATCACAGTAATAAATTACATTTGAAAATACATAAAAATAGAAAATTCTTATTGTAAATTGTAATATTATTCACAATAGTGCCATTTTTCTTTATTTTTGATCAAATAAATGGTGAGCATAGAAGACTTCATTCAAAAACACACATCTTACAGCCCCTAAACTTTTGAACGGTAGTGTACATGACAATATTTTTAAAAAATTATAAATTTTGAATTTCACAAATTGAATGGAGTGCATGTAAACATACTTATAGATATGGTCATATTCCATTTGTATGTAGCAAATGTCAGTCTTAAAGGAGCAGTTCACCCAAAAAAAAAAAAAAGTTGTTATTCCAGACCTCTCAAAAAGAAATACTTTGTGGAAAAATCATGTCAATGAAGACCAGTGTTGTTTTGGAACCCACTGACTTTCATTGTATGGACAAAAGCAGTTGAAACATTCCTCAAAATATCTTCTTTTGTGTTCCACAGAAGAAAGAAAGTCAAACAGTTTTTGAAAACAATAAAGGATGCCAGAATTTTCATTTTTGGGTGAATTATCCCTTGAACGTGTTGTGCTCTATATTTACCGAATACATCACACTTTGTCTCTCCGGTTCCTCAGTAAGTAACTGAGGTGTCATTCCACTTTGCACCTTGATGAATTTTACCATCAGTGAAGCAAGTGGGGGGTCCCGGCATCCAGCGGAACAGTCCGATCGCTCATCGTCCCATTTGATGTTCACACATCGCCCGTCTGTCCTGCCGGCTAGTTCTCACAGGAGTCTCACAGGAAATGTGCTAGTCATTCATCGTTACTCTGTGTGGCACTTTGTTTTTGTTATTTGTCTCTTGCTCCTTCCTTCGCCTGCGGGTTTAACATCAGGCTCGCTCGCACCCCCACCCGCCCCGCTCTTTTCTCTGTGTAATAAGCACCTGCATGACCACGATAGAGCTCTTTAAGAAGTGTTATCAAGAGAAGAGAGAAAAAACAGGCTTTATTTTTCAGCCCTCACCAGATAAGAAATCACTCATGACAGGCCAAGGGGAAGAGAAGAGCAGTAAAAAGCACAGCACATGGCGGAAGACAGCAGGTACTTAGAGAGCCGTCAAAACCATAGTGTCTATCTCTTCTGCTCTATAGCCTGTACATCACAGCGCTGTAGAGGGCCTATGGTTTTGAAGAGGACCCATTTAGGACTTATAAGAATCATGCTTTCATCGTTTTTGCGTTGATGAGTTGAATGAGTTGGATAGGAGCCAATGATAAATGACGGAAAAAGCAGGAAAAAGCACTTCCATTCATTTTCTTTAGTACATGCCATTAATTCTCTTTAGTCAGCATGTGCCTTTACCTCAATGTTCTTGATTTAGACAACATGACGCAGTTGCACAGCAGCGTTACCCGGGTGTCGGTACTTGTCCTTTCCTCCTCCTCCTCCTCTTCTTCTCTGTCTAATAGCCTACTGGTTATTCAAATGTGCAGATTTGCTGTCTTTTTCTTATGCACTTGATAGTTATATGCATATTTAACAGCTGAAGTGTGTAATTTTTCGACGTTAAAATACTTTCTCTATTCCCACAGGACTGTACTTCCCTGCAGTAAAGTTTTTTTGATTGATTTCATATTAATTTTCACATTCCATTTTCGTGGAGCATAGTGGAGCCAAACCCATTTGTCACAAGACAGATCATAGGCCAAGACAGGGGTTTTAATACTGGTGTCCATGAGATTTCCAGGGGCTCGTAAAGCAGGTGTTTAAGAGGGGGAGTTTGAGAGAAAAGTTCAAATATTTTACCATTTTTATTTTTATGCATTTTAACAATAAGAAATTTAAACCAAATCTGCACAATTATTTGTGGGGGGAAAAGTAGTAGTTTTTCCCTGTCTCTGGCCTTTTAGTATAGAAATAAAGATACACATTTAACTTCATGCAAAGTAAATGTTGTCTAGGTGATTTAATTTTGGGATCATCATGTTGTCTTCATAATATCACAATTATTACATTTATCATAAAGTATTAATGAGTCTTTATACTGTACATGAAAATAATAGTTGTTATTATTATAATTATTTGTTTCAGAATTAGATTAGGGTAATATTTGTTAACAACAGCAACACCGATAATAATAATTATTATTATTATCATTTGAACTTAAGAATAATAAGTAAAATATTACATTTTATGTTCACAGTACTGTATTTTATATCACAGTATTACTGAGTCTTTATACAGAAATATTATTATTAATAATTATTATTGTTGTTTTTCTTTCTTTTATCTCTAATAATAATAATATTCATAAATATTGTTATTACAAAATAATAATTGTTGCTGTTGTTTAGTTGAATTTCAAACCAGTTATTCAAATTTGAGATCATGTTGTCTTCTTATTGTTTTTCTCACACATTATTGATGGATCTTTATACAGGAAAATATATTGCTGCTTTTTTATTTTAGTAAGGAGATCATCAAAAAAAAAGTTTGAAAAGTCCTAAGAGACTTGATTTCAGGTCTCTGTTATCTTTTATTCTTTTTAGTGGTGCAGAAATGACACACTTCAACTTTGATTGTGTAATAACACGGTGCTCAGTTTGAGCTTGAATCTCCATCAAAATATTGATTCATAAACACAGCACTTCAGAGTAAGGCATTGATTGTGTCATTTTGAGTCATCTTATTTTAATACATTTCTTACAGTCAAGCTACATGTAATTAATTCAGTTTCATTCAGCACCACTCTCTTCCAGGTGTCCTCCTTGTTCACAGTTTCCACAGCGAGTAAAACAGTTTGTAAGGAAGATGATTGGTGAGGATGATGTGGGAATGATGGGGTATGAAAATGCTGAGGGCGTTTTGTGTGATGGGGCCGGACAGGGTCATAACTCTCGCCTGTTTTCCCTGTCGTGTTTTTGGCTCAGGCGGGCTGGCAGGTGTCATCAGCAGACAGGTAGAGCAGCTTCCTGAGCCTCGGAAACAGCCAGCATCTGGCATGTGCGCTATTGCAGTGATTTTGTAGTTGTAATGCATGTAGGCAGCGGACCCTATCAGACCTGGGAAGATTAAAAAAAAACTTATTTTCAGATTCGAACACACACAGCCTCTGTGAATGAAGCCTCTTGAAATTGCATCATGGGGAATTAAGATATGCTAATGATAGTCATAGGTTCGGTATGCGGCGTGTAAGATTGTGTCGCGACTCAAAAAAAAACTGTGTCGCAGCCCTTATATAAAACCTTTTCTTGAAGTGTCAAGTCCTTGAAGTGCTTCGCTTGCACTGACTGGGTAATATTTATTCGAGTTTGTGTGAAGCTGACGAATGTTTTCAAGGATTCTTGAGTTTGCAGGTGTAGCATGTACTTAACTGGATATAAAGAGGGGAGGGGATGTATGGAAGATTGATAAAAAAAAAAAGCTATGATTTTCATTTTTCTCTGCAAATTGTCAAAGAACAATTTTCCTTTTCTTTTGCCTTCTTTGTCTCTCTCGATCCCCTTCTCTCTCTCGCTTTCTTCTTCTGCCCCTACTTTTATATTTTATGGTCGATCTTGCTCCAATAATTGCATCTATTCACTGACTTCTTTTATTCCTCAGATGGCTTGGAAATGATTGTAGGGCTAGGAAGAGAGAGAGATCATGGGAGTGATGTAAGGATATGATTGACTCACCAGGCCAGTGCTGTAACAGTGACGGAAATGAGAGAAAGGAGATTACGCTACAGCAGAGGAAGCTTTGCCCCAGGTTTTTGTCATGCCAAAATGATCATTTCAGCCCACAAATCATTTATCTACATAAGACACTCTGGGATAAAAGTTGATACCCTTGAACTGTAATTTCCTTTTGAGATTTATGACCATACACAGATGAAACACATCCCCAAAATAGCATGTGTTATGTGCTGCATTACAAGTAATACATGTGACGTAGTTAGATGACTTGTTTTCCAGTGAAATAACGCCATATGATATGTGACCTTTTCAAATAAGATAACTTTTTTGTATTATGTAATTTATTTGCAGACAAGTGCAATTGAAAACCTCTCATTTTGGAAGCAATTGTGCTTATGATATGCATTGTAGAAGTTGATGGGTATTGTTCTAGACTAGAGAGTGCGTCATGCTTATCGGTGACGTTTGGATTTATTTTCAAAAAACTAATGGTGTTTTAGGAGAAACCAGTCAAGCTGGTTATTTGTAGTGGATGGAAATAACAATTTGGCTGTTGTCTCAGAGCAGCGGTAGATTTCTCTGCCCTTGAACACAGGTGCGGCCATCCTAAATTTTGCTGTTGTCATGGCAATCAGCATGAGTCTTGTTTTCTGTTTTGTTGTGCATGAAAATAAAAAGCCCAGCTGTTAAGATGTTTTTGTCAAAAATGGTACAGAGAGATACATTGTTTCCTGTGGTTTCGATACTTGTGTAAATACACTCATTCTACTGTACATTAAGTCATGAAATGCAACTTTGAGGGGCTTTCTGACAGGGGTGGGTGCTAGGAGGTTCATGGAAATTAAGGAAAAGAAAAAGATTTTTCAAAAAGTGTTTTGAGGATAATGTTATATAACATTGATATTAATATTATATGACATTTGGATTACAATTTCTTATACAGTGTAAATGAATTGTTGTACACGAAAATATAACCACTACCAAGTTTGATTTAGTAAATTAATACTTTTAGTCAACAAGTATGCATTAAATTGATAAAAAATAAATACTGTTCTGAACTTTCTATACATCAAAGAATCTTGAAAAAATATATATATCAGGGTTTCCATAAAATGTTAAGCAGTTTTCAACACTAATAATATATCACTACACTAAGAAGAAATTGTAATAAAAATATTAGAATGTGCAATATAAGCACAACTAAAGCTGTTAGTTTTATATGGAAGTGTAGCCTATGACAATAACAATTATTTGCACTTGAAAAAAAAACAAATATATTTATTTTTGTTGATTTAATAGATATTTATAATAGTATATATATTTTTTGTATTACTGTTCAAAAGTTTTTGTTAGTTTGTAATGTTTTTGAAAGAAGGCTTGCGCTCAAAAAACGCTGCATTTGCAGTACATTGTGAAATATTGTTACCATTTAAAAAATATCTATTTTACATTTTAATATATTTTCAAATGTATTTTATTCGTGTGATGGCAAAGCTGAATTTTCAGCAGCCATTACTTTCAGTCTTCAATGTCACATGATCCTTCAAAAAGCATACTGATTTGGTGCTTAAGAAACATTTATGCATATTACCAGTGTTGAAAACAACTTAATAATTCTGTGGTAGCATAGATTCCTTTTTTATTGTAGGAAGTGAGTTCCTGACAAGTGGATCATCATATTCCAGGATTCTTGAAATCACAACTTTTGAAAATTTCTGATATATAGCCTGTACTGTATGTGACCCTGGACCACAAAACCTAAGCACGGGTGTATTCGTAGCAATAGCCAACAATACATTATATGGGTCAAAATTATCGATTTTTCTTTTATGCCAAAAATCATTAGGATATTAAGTAATGATCATGTTCCATGAAGATATTTTGTAAATTTAATACCCTATGTCCCAGTTTTACTAACAGCTTGCGCAAGCGCAAACCGTCTTTTGGCGTTAAAATAGTACGGTCAGGATTTACTAAAGATGCGCAGTGACAAATTAGCGCTGAAAAGGCGTGTACAGTTCTTTTTGCGCCTGACCTTACTGAATATGCATTTCTAGGAGTTTACCTTTCAGACGCAAGCAAGCGCAAACCGTTTTTTGGCGTTAAAATAGTACGGTCAGGATTTACTAAAGATGCGCAGTGACAAATTAGCGCTGAAAAGGCGTGTACAGTTCTTTTTGCGCCTGACCTTACTGAATATGCATTTCTAGGAGTTTACCTTTCAGACGCAAAATTTATGGGAGGAGAGTATTCAAATGAATCAGGCATTATCCGAACAAATCGTTTGCCAAGCCATCTTATTTTTAATTTGCTTCAGGAAATAAAAGACAACTTGGAACCCTCATCTAGGAGTCACGCAATACCAGCTCTATCAAAAACTTCTTGCAACCCTTCATTTTTTGGCCTCCGGTTCTTTTCAGAGTACTGTGGCTTATTTATTTCTTTATTGTTTATTCGCGACTACGCTCATTTGCTCTGTGCTTGGTATATTGCGTTGATCGATATGTAAATGAGATGTTGCATCTGTGTTCTTTCATTTGCGCATTGTTAGTAAATCACCCGCAGAAATTTTCACGCCCATCGGCGATGTTTTGGAATTGCGCTCTCGCGCTAATTTGCCTTGTTTAGTAAAACTGGCCCTAAATATATCAAAACTTAATTTTTGGTTAGTAATATCCATTGCTAAAAAGTTAATTTGAACAACTTTAAAGGACATTTTCTCAATATTTAGATTTTTTTTTTTTTTTTTTTTTTTTTTGCAAATAGTTGTATCTCAGCCAAATGTTGTCCTATCCTAACAAACCATACATCAATGGAAAGCTTATTTATTCAGCTTTCAGATGATATGTAAATCTCAATTAAAAAAATTTTACCCCTATGACTGGTTTTGTGGTCTTGGGTCACATATGTCAATGCATACAAACTATGTTATGGGAATAAACACTTGATCACTTCCAATGTAAAACAAAATACCTTCTATTCAGAGTGAGAAAAAGTTAGAGTGTAATGCTATTAGTTATGTTTTCTAATAAGTAGCACATTAAGGTTTCTTTCATTTTCAGGCCACACTGAGACATCCAGGCGTTTGAAGATGCCACATGCTGTATCTGACAACGACCGAGAGATAGAAATTGCTGCCAAATAGGAATGAATGTATTTTTAATGGGCTAATGTAAGAGCTTGCTTTTTTTTATTTTTCCAATTTGATCAGTAATGTGGAGTGTGATTGTGAATGACTCTAGTCTCACGCATGGCGAAATTGATTTGCAGGTATTAAATCTTAATCAGAGCAGTTGAGAGGAAGCCATGAATAAATAAAATGCCAGAGGCTCACTGTGGCTGCGGGCAGTGACCTTTCCATTTATCTACGGCATGTCAAGGTCTCTCCGTTCCTTTCTCTCTCTGCGTCTCGCTTGCTTTCTCTCTGACTCCCTCCACAAATCTACCTCTGCTAACGTTTCAGAATGTAATTGAAATTCACCAAACATTCTCTCGCTCAAATACACACATGCTGATGTGTCCTCCTGGCTGGGAAATCTGCATAAAAGCGGCGTAGTGAGTAATGCGCAGAGTTTCACTGACAGTAGCACATCCCATCTCGCAGCTCTAATGGCACTGCTTTGATAATGAGCTGCTTTGAGGGATAGTTTGCTTATAGGGATAGGATTTTGTGCTTGTGTGTATGTGTGAAATCTACAGAGACAGTGTGATTCTTTTCATTGAGCTGTGATCAGGGGATCTGTTTTACAAGAAATGACATTATGAGGACCAGAGAGAATTCCTGTTTGTTCATGGATCATATGTCTTTATGAATGATACTGTATGCCAAGCGGCAGGGCAGCAGAGCGGCCCGAGGGGTGACTCACTGGTTTCGTGTCCACTCAATTTAGGTTCTTATTAAATTGGCTTTGTCTCATGAAGTCAAGTCGATTAACCACGGTTAGCGCGAGCCCCGGCGCATCTGATCCTCAGACGTCACTGGGCTTGAATGTTGCGTCTGCATGCAGGTTAGCGACTAGCGGTGGATTTCAAGTTACACAATGTGCTCTGCTTCAAACCTCAGGTGGGTGACGGCCCGCTTTGAGTCCGTTCCTAAAAGCGAATTATGTTAACCACTGCGTCTTAATACAGAAATGTTTCCTTGACAGCAGAAAAAGAAGGACAGGCCTGCATAAATTGCGCATCGCCATCCTGTAAACTGGTTTGCATAATCAGTTTGAGGTGAGAATTTAAACAGTGTCGGCCGGGTTTTAGCACTTCGCTCCCTTCGTGATTGACATCCCTGCCGGCCCACTCTAAATAGCCAATCTGTCTTCATGGCAACCGGTCAGAAAGATCTCCCTCTTAGTGGAGGAGACCCTCACCTACATAGAGTCAATTAAATGATCATTGCGGTGAAAGACTGTTTTGACAGGCTGTGTTTTATACTGTAAGCAACTGAAGATCTACAGTAGCTTCTGTAAGGTCACCATAGAGGAACTAGTGCTTGGATACCTGAATTTAAAGAGAGAGTTCAGCAAGAAATCAAATTTTTGTTGTTTATTTGTTAACTCACCATCATGTCGTTCCAAATCTGTATGTTTTTGTTTTATCTGTTGAACTCAGAATGAGGATTTTAAATCTTCATGCAGCTCTTTTCCAAACAAGAAGTTTATAGTGACCTCCAAAAAGGAAAATATAACAACAAAAGCACAGTAAAAGTATTACAAATGCACCGATGAATAGATCATATTTTAAGTTATTGAATATGTTACCTATGGTGCAGGTTAGATGTTAAAAGTCATTGATTCTTACTTGTTGCTAGACTAAACCTGACCATATTTGATGGCAGTATATTTAGAGTTATAGATATTTTATAGTTATAGATATTTATAGTTATTTGTTAAATGTGACTTATTTTCTTTGACGAAAAGAAAGTAAAACAGCATTTATTTAAAATAGATATCTTGTGTAACATTATGTATTTACTGTCACTTTTGGTCAATTTAATGCATCCTTCCTCAATAAAAGTATTAATTTCTTTAAAAAAAAATTACTAAACCCAAATTTTTGAACAGTAGTGTACATGGAAAAATTACATCATACAGGTTTGAAGCAACATATTTAAATAAATGAAACCTTTACATTTTATTTTTAATATTTTACTTTCTTTTTCAATTATTTTAAAGCAGTAATTCTGTCTTTTTAAAGTTGACAAAACATTTCTCTCATTTTCTCCTCCTGTTTTCCTCATTCCCTTTTCCCCAATGTTTTCCTTCCTTTTTTAAATCAATGTTATCCTTTCTTTCATTGCTCTGTCATTCACCACTCCTTCAAACCCTCCTTGCATGGTCATTTTCCTCTCCACTCTCTTCCTTTCCGGCGGTGTAGGTCTCTATCTGGACGCATCGTGGGTGGAGTGTGGTGGTTTTTCACCCTCATCATCATCTCCTCCTACACAGCCAATCTGGCTGCTTTCCTCACTGTGGAGAGGATGGTGTCGCCCATTGAGAGTGCTGAGGACCTGGCCAAGCAGACAGACATAGCGTATGGTACTCTTGACTCAGGCTCCACCAAAGAGTTCTTCAGGGTAAGTGGCCAAAGCTAATGGGTTGAGGGGAGGGCAGCGGTGTTTTTTTTTAAGGGGGGGTGAAAGGGAATGACACCAAAACGAGAAGATTTCTAGTGCTGTATTAGAAAAAAAGAGCGAAAACCCACAGATTAATAAACCAAGCGAAGAACATATGGTCTTAATTAAAGTATATTAGGGTTCTCAGTCTTTTTTTTTTTTTGGCTCTAAAACAAAATGAAACTATATGCTTTAGGATCTCATATACATAATTACAAAACTGGCAAATTATGAATGGCAAAAAATATATATAAGCCTATTTCCACCATTAAATAAAAATGTTTATAAAGGGTAATTTTTACTTTTTATCTCACAATTGAGAGTTTACATTTCACAATTTAGAATTTTTTTTCTCAGAATTGTGAGATATAAACTCAAAATTACGAGTTATAAAGTCAGAATTGCGAGATATAAACTCGCAATTGTGAGAAAAAAAGATTTAAACGAGTGATTCTGAGAAATAAAGTTGCAATTCTGAGAAAAAAGTCAGAATTGCGAGATGTTAACTTACAATTGTGAGAAAAAAAGTCAGAAATGTGAGATAAAAAGTCACAATTACCTTTTTGATTTTTTATTCCGTGGCGGAAAGGGGCTTCCATAATAAATATGCCTGAAATTATTTATAATTGTATATATATGCTAATATATACAACCATTCAAAAGTTTGAGGTCGGTATAATTTTTTTTAAAGAAGTATTTTATGCTCACTAAATGCCACATTTATTTGATCAAAAATACAGTAAATACAGCAGTATTATGAAATATGAATTGCATTTAAAATAACAGTTTTCTGTTTTAATACTTAAAGTTTATTTCTGTGATGGCAAAGCTTAATTTTCAGCATCATTATTCCAGTCTTCAGTGTCACATGATCCTTCAGAAATCATTCTAATATACTGATTTGGTGCTCAAGAAACATTTGTTATTATTAATGATAAAAAGATGTGCTGTGTAAAAAAATTTAGATTAATTTCTTTCCAGGATTCTTTAATGACTAGAAGGTTCAAAAGAACAGCATTTATTTGAAATAGAAATATGTTGTTACATTATAAATGTCTTTACTGTTGATTTTGATCAATTTAAAGGGATAGTTCACCCAAAAATCACCCTGGTGCCATTTTGGAGAGTATCCACTGAACGCAAACAGCGTATGCTGTTCTGTGTCAGCCGCACCACACGGATACGTTGTTTTCGTTAAAATCAAAGCGTAAACGATGTAAACAGCGTATCCGCGTGGCACAGCTGACACAAAGCAGCATACGCAATTTACGTTCAGTGGATACTCTCCAAAATGGCACTAGGGTGATGCGGAGGAGACGAATTGTTGAATAAAGTCGTTATTTTTGTTTTCTTTGCGTACAAAAAGTATTCTCGTCCCCTGCTCTAAACTGTAATTTCTGTAATAACTGTAATAATTCAGCGAAAAACAAATAATCTGCACCCTCCACACTTCCTCTGCACACTTCACTGCCATTCTACACCTCTACCCCTACTTCCAGAGGTCAAAGATCGCCGTTTATGAGAAAATGTGGAGCTACATGAAGTCTGCCGAGCCCACGGTGTTCACTAAGACCACGGCAGAGGGAGTGGCACGAGTGAGAAAATCCAAAGGGAAGTACGCCTTCCTGCTGGAGTCCACAATGAACGAGTACACGGAGCAGCGCAAACCCTGCGACCTTGCAGAATAAAGGTATTAAGAACAACTATTGACTCCAAACTTTTGTACAGTAGTGCACATAATAATTTATAATTTAAATTAATACATTCATAAAAATCTCCCACAGTCCCACAAGGGGTCTCAACCAACAACTATTGACCCCAAACTTTTGTACAGTAGTGCACATAATAATTTAAATTAATACATTCATAAAAATCTCCCACAGTCCCACAAGGGGTCTCAACCAAGTGTGCCGCACAAGTCTTGAAAAGTGAAGCCAGAATGTTTCGATCGCCCCCAGGTGACTGGATGCAGTATAGGTCATAAACCCTGCCCTCTCCATGTAATCTAATGGGATGTGAGACAAACAACAAAATCAAATTACACGTCAAATACATTTTTTCCAAAGACATTTTCTGTCATTTTAGGTAGTTCTTAGCATGCTGATGTATGTTCAAGTGTTCATTTTTCTAATAAGTTTGCTTTTAATTAGTTATTTGATGCTATACTGTAAAAATGGGGTGTGGTGTCATGATTGTGAACTTGCGTTTGGGTCTGCGGGAGTTTGGGCGAGACTTTGATTCCGCGGCTTCACCTCACGATCACAACTGCGCAGACTCCAAATTACGTAATTTTTGCAAGATGACAGCGGCCATACTGAGAATGTTTTGGCTTCACTTTTCTATTGTGGAAGCAAGTGGAGATGCGTCGTCCATCTTTTATACAGTCTATGGTCTCAACCCCAAGGCTGAGAACCTCTAAACCAGGGGTACCCAACCCTGCTCCTGGCGATCGACTGTCCTGCAAAGTTCAGCTCCAACCCTAATCAAACACACCTGAAGCAACTAATTAGGGTCTTCAGGATCACTTAAAAATTAAAGGCAGGTGTCTTTGATTAGAGTTGGAGCTAAACTTTGCAGGACAGTCGATCGCCAGGAGCAGGGTTGGGCACCCCTGCTCTAAACTGTAATTTCTGTAATAACTGTAATAATTCAGCGAAAAACAAATAATCTGCACCCTCCACACTTCCTCTGCACACTTCACTGCCATTCTACACCTCTACCCCTACTTCCAGAGGTCAAAGATCGCCGTTTATGAGAAAATGTGGAGCTACATGAAGTCTGCCGAGCCCACGGTGTTCACTAAGACCACGGCAGAGGGAGTGGCACGAGTGAGAAAGTCCAAAGGGAAGTACGCCTTCCTGCTGGAGTCCACAATGAACGAGTACACGGAGCAGCGCAAACCCTGCGACACCATGAAAGTGGGAGGAAACCTGGACTCCAAAGGCTACGGGGTGGCGACGCCTAAGGGCTCACAGTTAAGGTGGGTGGAGTAATATAACAATATGTCACGTGTTGTTATGGTATTCCACCTTCCCTGGCGTGCCTATTTCTAGTTTTCTCTTCTTTCTTTTTGCTTTTCTCATGTGTTCTTGTGGGCAGTTAAAGGTCTTGTATACGTAGTGCTATGTTTTCTTTCTCTCGTTTTGTTTGTTTGTTTTTTAATGTAGCCTGAAGCAGGTCATTTCAAACTGATGCATGAATGTTAATGCCACTGAATTTTTGAGATGAAATGTCTGGATGTTTAACAATGAACATGAATTTGAACGAATGGACAAGCCTGTGAATATTCTGCCTGGTCTGATACTGAGAGGTACGCACATTTAAACGCACTACAAGTACCATGAAGCGTGGTAAGAAAGGTTGAGAAGAGTCAGTTACAGATGACGGTAGCTCCCGGGATTAGCCATTTTGTCAGAGTTACCGCGGTCTGTCTGACCCTTCTCATGATACCGGGGGGAAGAGCGTCCAATAGCGTAACGGCTTTTCTCCTGCTGTCGTGATGTCAGACCAGCGCAGGAGATTCACTCGGCTTCAGATCTGCAGCACACTGCCCTTAATGCTCTTCTTTCTCTTCCCCTCCTCAGCTCAGATGTTTCTCACTACATTCTTTCCCTGTCCCGTTCTTTGTTCCTGTGGGCTGTGTGTTTATTAAAGGGGTCATATGATGCGATTTCATTTTTTCCTTTCTCTTTAGAGTGTTACAAGCTCTTGGTGCATAAAGAAGATCTGTAAAGTTGCAAAGACTAAAGTCTCAAATCCAAAGAGATATTCTTTATAAAAGTTAAGAGTTAGCTTTTTAGCAGCATCATATGACCCCTTTAATGTTGCATTCAGGATAAACTGCATTCAGGATAAACCTCTCTTGAATCATTCCCATCATGTACATTTTGACCCTTAACTAGATCATAGATTTGCAAGATTAGACTTTTACAGTGGAGTCCAAAAGTAATAAATGTAAATGATTGATTGAAGTATAAACTTTTACGATTTTGAAATTATTACTTATTTTATCTATCTATCTATCTTTGAAAATACAAAGTTTTAGGAGGTTTATAATAAAAACAAATGCATTATTATTATAATTACTAAATTTAAATGTATAAATTCATTCATTTAAATTAATTATACTACATTTATTAATTTTGTAAAAATATTATAAATTCTAGTTCACATCTATTGATTGATTGATTGATTGATTGTAATTGAACATAAATTATTATGATTTTGAAAAGTATTGTTATTAAATATGTATTTATGTCTTTATTAATTGATATAAATTAATTTGACTAAATTTATAAATTTTGTAAATATTTTAAAATCTAGTTCACATTTATTTATTTATTTATTTATTTATATTTCCCCTGTGGTCCGTTCGCCGCGGAGCCCGGTGCGACCGCACCAGTTGCACCCCCCTAAGGACAGCCCTGCATGTGCATGTACTAAGACATAAGACTTGAATGTTTATGTTTTAAAGGGGTCCTATTATGCTCTTTTGCAAAGTCTTGATTTTGTTTTGGGGGTGTAGGCCTACTAGAACATGCTCTCATGCTTGGTGGTTTGAAAAACGCATTATTTTTCACATAATTTACATTATTGCAATACCTTTCTCCCCAGCCTGGCACAAATGGCTCGATAAGTTCCTGGTTTGATGAAGGCCCGCCTTCCGAAAAACTAAATGTGTTGTGATTGGTTAGCTGTCCCAGTGCATTGTGATTGGCGAACAGCTTAGACTGTGTTTCAGTACTGCCCTGCCCCTTGCCAAAGCAGCAAGTTCCATCTGCTCCGGTATAGTTAAGGATGGCGTCAATATTGCCATATCAATTTGAGCTGGTTTCAGACCCAGAGAATTTTGAACAAGAGGATCGCGCAGAACCTTTGCACGCACAGATATTGCAAGACATTTTAGAGTGGTGACTAGGGTTGGGCCGATAGACGATGGCATCGTCCATCGCCGATGGCTGTAAGACATCACGATGTTGAGCCGGCATCGTGATCCCCTCCTCCCAATCCGCCACATCCCAATACCGTTTTCGGAAAGAAAATGATGTGTATACGGAACCCGAACCCCTAAAGGGAATAAACACGAGATGGGAGGAAAATATATATTTCAATACTTTCTCTCGCAGTTATATCATTGGGTAATTATACTGTAGGACTATATAAATTGCGGGCATCGGGGAGCTGCTATTATGCCTGGCATTGAAACTGCTTTTGAGTGCACGATCGCTTTTTAGTTTCACTTTCACTTTCGAGATTCGCAATCGCACATACTCTGTTTATACTATGGAGCAGCAGTACTTACCACACATTTTACAAGATTAGATGTTTTATCAGTGGTGCTCAGAATCTACAAATCATTTGCCATCGTCCTCAGTCATCTCTCCTACTTACTCTGTTTATGTGGTAAGTGAAATTTTATGTACTGTAACAGGCAACCGTTAGCAAACATTATTTGTTATTTAATTCAGAAATACAAAAGGTACTGTAAATATGCATTGCTGTCAATTTTAATAGTTATTTATGAATTACTTTACGTATTACAAAACATGAAGCACTTCTTCTTCGTCGTCATCGTCTTGTCTGATGCACGCAACCAAGCTGTTCTAAACATGACCTCGCCCTTCCCCAGCCCCCAACCATTCGAATTTCCATATGTGGGAATTATTTTAATGATATTCTAATGAGCCGCTTTGTGACATCACAAAAACCCGGAAAACAACGCTGTAGTCCAAACAAGCCGTTCGTTGTAGTTCTTGAAAAGGGAAACGAAATATCTCCCTTTGGAGTGGACTTTGAGATTTGTAACTTTGTAGATCTTTTTTATGCCCAAACATACACACTACACACGGACTAAAATTCAAAAAGTGCAAAAGCATAATAGGACCCCTTTAATTTAATATTTTACAAAGACCATGCTGATTTACAGTGAAAATTTCAAAAATAGAAGCATTATTCGTACTGTAGTCCTTTAGACTTTTGGACCCCATTGTTTGTGTCATAGCAAGTAAGTAAAAATACAGTAATTTATATGATATGCTTATATTTATAGAACATTATCTACAGAATGATAAGCATTGATGAGAACTGCAGGGAAAGATACTGTCTGGTGTTTCGGAGCAGAATTGTGTTGCCAGCTCTCTTGTGGCTGAGCCAGAGGTGGGAATGCAGGGGTCTGGGGAATAGGATCAAACTCATTCTGCACTTTCAGAGACTTAAACCCTCAGTGCTCATTTAAACCATCTGTAAGCAGCATATAGGGAAAGAAACAGGCATTCAATATCGTGAGGTCCCTCTGTGCATCTCAGCAATATTGAGTGCATTGTAAAGCGGTCGAGTGATGATGGGAAATAAGGGTAGCTTGGGTTGGGGAGGGGGTTTAAAGCGGAGAGCAGGTATTGATTTTTCCATTCCCCCATCTGGAGGTGTGTAGTATGGGTAGACAAATAAGGCTGGTGTAAATTAACATGAAAACAGGAAAAGAGAGGTTTGTCCTCTGTGGTTCGGTGTTTTTAGTGTTTTCTAAGGGGAAAATATCTCCCTTTGGAGTGGACTTTGAGATTTGTAACTTTGTAGATCTTTTTTATGCCCAAACATACACACTACACACGGACTAAAATTCAAAAAGTGCAAAAGCATAATAGGACCCCTTTAATTTAATATTTTACAAAGACCATGCTGATTTACAGTGAAAATTTCAAAAATAGAAGCATTATTCGTACTGTAGTCCTTTAGACTTTTGGACCCCATTGTTTGTGTCATAGCAAGTAAGTAAAAATACAGTAATTTATATGATATGCTTATATTTATAGAACATTATCTACAGAATGATAAGCATTGATGAGAACTGCAGGGAAAGATACTGTCTGGTGTTTCGGAGCAGAATTGTGTTGCCAGCTCTCTTGTGGCTGAGCCAGAGGTGGGAATGCAGGGGTCTGGGGAATAGGATCAAACTCATTCTGCACTTTCAGAGACTTAAACCCTCAGTGCTCATTTAAACCATCTGTAAGCAGCATATAGGGAAAGAAACAGGCATTCAATATCGTGAGGTCCCTCTGTGCATCTCAGCAATATTGAGTGCATTGTAAAGCGGTCGAGTGATGATGGGAAATAAGGGTAGCTTGGGTTGGGGAGGGGGTTTAAAGCGGAGAGCAGGTATTGATTTTTCCATTCCCCCATCTGGAGGTGTGTAGTATGGGTAGACAAATAAGGCTGGTGTAAATTAACATGAAAACAGGAAAAGAGAGGTTTGTCCTCTGTGGTTCGGTGTTTTTAGTGTTTTCTAAGGGGAAGTGGGGTGGGAACGGGCAACTAATCTATAGAACTTTCCACCCCTTTCTTTCTTAATTTAACCTGATTGGATTCTGCTCAACTATGACAAACTGCTGCTACTGACAAACTATGTTTTATCGTTTCAAGAAGTGCAGTTAACCTGGCAGTTTTAAAACTGAATGAACAAGGCCTGTTGGACAAATTGAAAAACAAGTGGTGGTACGACAAAGGAGAGTGTGGCAGCGGAGGAGGTGGTGAGAAGGTTAGCCACTATGTCAACCAACACGGGTAAACAGTTTCCTCTGTAACGGGAGCATCTGCCGGGGCGCAAGCGCATACATGACCTTCATTTTGACCCTGTTTAGCCTAAAGAGAGAGAGAGGAACGCAATTACTGTCAGAGCACAAATATTCGCCTGGAATACTAGGCACAGATTCTCTCGTCGGTCTTCTGGCATTCATCAAGGAACTTTTTCTCCTTTGAAATAGTTGTGTCTTTTTACCTCCAGTTTCTTTAGCTGCTGTTCTTCTTCTCCTGAGGCGCATTTTTTGATAGGAATGCAGAGAACATTCATTGTCTTTTGAAAGGTGCTGCAGTGTCGCATTATGATTATGTATTAAAGACACGATCCAAAGGCAGAGGTAGTTTTAATAAAATAAAAACAAAAACTAGAAAAACTGAAACTAAATGAAAATACAAAATTGAGAATCCAAAATGTGAAACATTTCAATGGCACTAGATAGCAATAACACTAAATCATTAAAACTATGAAAGCATTTTTCAACATAAATTTGTATACATATTATATTATTATTATACATATTATTACATATGTATATGTATACCCTAGTTAAAAATAAATATACTAAGTATATTACAAATACATGTACATATGTATGTACTTAATAAAAATACCCTGCAATTGTGCTTTTAGTATAATAAGCTGGTACACTTAAAGTCTGCTAAATTGGAACAACTAATTTTGTTCTTAATGCAGTTTAATTGTGCAGAAGTAGTGCTGAAGTCCAACTAAAGATATGCTGAAGTATATTTGATTGTGGACCTATTGCATGTATACTTTAGGTACACTTTAAATATCTTGCACTTGAAGATAGTATTCAAAGTCATACAGTCCTCATCAATAGTTACATTAAAACACATTTTAGGCTTAATATTAAGAAATGTGCATTGTGCACAAGTAGTACTCCAAATAAAGTTGAATTATGATTGTTTAATTATGATGAATTAATTATAATCAGTAAATCTAGAGCGAAATGTCAGTAAATATGTTAATAGATTTTAACTATACTTAGTATGAAATAAATGTATTATATTTGTAAATAAATATACTGTGTATATATATATATATATATATATATATA